GATGAGGTGATCTCTAGAGGTCTCTTCCAACCCCACCAACGTGTGTGACTGTGTGTGTGGTTATGGCTGTTAAACACTCCCCACAGCTCTAAACATGTCTCACTTTCCTTTCTGAAAAGAGAAAAACAGGATAAGGAGAATTTCCGAGCTCTGGCAGCATCTCATCCTCACAGAAAAGAGTAGGAAAAAAAAAGGTAGCTGGCAGAGAAGGTAGCTGACAGAGCAGAGGGATCTGGATACACTGGGGCACTGAGCGATCAGCAGCAGCACGAAATGTAACCACAACCAATGCCAAATTCTGCTTCTGGGACTTAGTGACACTGGACACCAATATAAACTATATAAACTTAAATATATATAAATATCTTCTTAGGGGTATTAACTGATTAGCTAAGATGCAGCCCAGAATAAGTAAGCCACAGAGAGGTAGGCCTAAAGAATTTGAAGTGGTGTCCTCCCAGATCCTGGCTTGGTGGAGGTCTGAGTTGTGAACTGTCAGCTCATCTGTGTGCTGGGAATGCCTGGAATGGTTTCAGGAGAGCCGGGCATGTGTTATACATCACAAGTCTTTGGAGTTTGGGTGGTTTTGTTGCCAAAAGCAAGGGAATACAGGAGAAACGTGGTTTCTTGCTGCTGGCTCTCAGCTGGCTTTATCTGCCCACATCTCCATTCATGGCTTTGTGTTTCAGTAGAAGTCGTGCTCATCAGCAGTTTAAGCTGTTGTGCTGAGCTGCGAACCAGGACAATGGAGATGTCATCCTATTCTCTGCTGTTCCACAGAGATGGAGGCTTGTCCCTTAACCAGGAGGACAGGAAAGTTTGGACCAGCTCTACTAGACTGCCTAGAAAACATAAAAATTCTTGAGAACCTTTAAACCGTATCTGACATTAATGCTTATGGTTTGGTCTTGTGGGTGTTATAGCTCATGCGATTAGCTGGTAGTTTGATCCTGTGTATGTCTTAACATAAATATAATTAAGATCTGATTGCTTCCTGCCATATAAACCCCAATGCTTTTCTTCTTATCCTCAGAACAATATGCTGGACTTCGTGTTTGCTGTTGATGACTCTGTGACCTGGCATATGATGAACCTGTTAAAGAACAGGAGCCATTATTCCTTCCTAAAAGTTTTTGGGCCAAAACAGATCAGTAGCTTGCAGAGCTACGGAGCAGGGGTCTACTACAACACTTTAGTGCCGTGTAATGGGAGGGTAAGTACAAACAGTTTGGGTACATGAAGTCAAGTGTTTGTGGGTGTAGTATTGAAATGATTAGCTTAAAGCGGATTTCTGTGCAGGAAGCGGGTCTTGTAAATTGTAATTGCTTCTTAACTCATGGTTTCTTCAAAATTTATGTCTCTAAACTGTTTCACAAACAGCATATTAATTAAAAAGCAAACAGAGCAGCTGCTCTTGCACTTTAAAAGTGTGAGCAGTGTTTGGCATTTACAACTAAAGCACATCAGAAACTGGATTTATATTCCTTATCGTTTTCTGTCTGCCAGTTTTGGTGCTTGTAAATTGTGTTGTGGGGAAACAGCCCTCATTTCAGCAGCTGGCTCTGTAGTAATGGCAAAGTGGGTTCTGTCTGTTTGTTTTGATATAAAATGCAAATATTTAATGCAGCAAGTTGGAACTGACATTTGTGTCCTTTAATGGCTGATGTGCTGACCTATGAAGCTTGGGTGTAATTCCTAATTCTAGGTAAATGGCATTTGCCCAGCATATCCTGCTCCTGCATCTCTGTGAAGGCCAAGTGTGGTGAGGAGGAGTGGGGACAGGACCCATCATCTTTGCTATGCAAATAAGTTAAAACTTCTTGTCTCTTTATGCCCAAATCTCACACTGCAGTAACTCAGTCACGTCACAGCCCATGGTCTGTTGTTACCGAGAGGTTCTGGTGCTGGCTGCTTTGCTGCAGTGATAATCTTTGGATTATTCAGGAAGTGCAAGTTGGTTACAGACTCCTGATGGTTCATCTTTTTTCCAGTTTCGTAAAACAAACTACAAAATCACTGTTTGTTTTCTCTCATCAAAAAGCAAAAGGAAAAGCTCCCTGGTACAGAAATGGGGCACATGGATGTTTTTTTATTGGATGTGTGTGTTCCTTAGATTTAATGGCAGTCATACTCAGTAGCAAGTGAAAATGATGCAGGTATTTGATTTTTCAAAAGCCTATATTTTGCTTTTTTTTCCCCAGATGATAAAATATGGTGTAATTAGCACTGATACCCTTATTGATGACTTACTTCACTGGAAAACCCTCTATATAGCCGGGCGCCTGCAAAAACCGGTAACTGTTGGTCTGCTCAGTTGTCTGTCTTGAAGTGCAGGAAATTACAGGGCTGGAAAATGATCAGTTATAGTTTTAACTTTAACTATTGAGGGTTTGTGTGTCAGTACTGATGGAATAACTTGCCCTGGTCTGGGGGTCGGGTCCTGAAGGGATAATCTCTCAGAGAGGAAATGGAATGTGGTCCTTAATGATCTTCTGTGTTATGTGGAGAAGTAACTAAAGAGAAGTGTATTAATCAGTTTCCTGCTTGTAGGAAATCTTGAGTAATTTGACTATATTAACTGAAAGACCTATTAGTGTTACATATAATATTCACATTTTATGACAAATTATAGGAGTCCCCAAGATTTGACACAGTTATAACAAATCTTTGAAGATGGGAGCTGCTTTGCTGTGCAGTGACTGGCTAGTTCGTGGTGTTGTTTGTGGCTATAACTGACTGAATCCTGTGTTAGGTGTGTTGTATTTTCTCCTCCATGTTTATATCATAAAAAACACAAGGTCTGTGCCTTCTGCAGGCCACAGCAGTGCCAAGTTAAAACTTCCCAAGAGAGGAAAGCAGGAGAACCCTGTTCACCTCTTGGAACAGAAGTTAATTATACTTTTAACTAAAAAAATTGGAGTGAAAGTTTGGGTAGATTGTCTGGGTGGCTCTTCTGTGTGGTGTCACAGCATGACAAGAGGTTAGAGCAGCTGTTGTCATAAAGGATGAAACTTAAAATATTGAGAAAAACAGTGGAAGGAAGAGTTGTGAATGTCACATCAGCAATGAATAGTAAATATATATTTTCAGTGTAACAGGCCTTGCTGCTTCAATTTATTTTAGGGTTTCTCATCTTCTTAATTGTGCTTTGTATCTTTTGATTAAATTCAATGCGAATATGTACTTGGCACGAGAAGGCAGAAATTGGTATTTCTCTGGCTGCTAACCAAACAGCAGAGATAGTGTCACACATTGTTGAACAGGTAGAAGGAGAAATCAGGCCAAGTTATTTTTGTTAAGCTCACAGGAATTTGCATTAAGTAAAGACTGCAGGACTTACACTAGAATTTCATTGAAAGATTATTGGTGAATGTTCAAACTGTTTATTCCTGTAGAATCTATTAAATCATTAAGTGGGCTTTTGAACATTATTCTTGCCTCGACCAAATAATATTTCCAGAATGTTTGGCAGAATAGATAGGGTTTGGAATGGCCACATAGAAATGGCAACTTTTCTTCCCAGGCTTCTTTGTATTCAGAGTTTATTGGGTTTTCATCTTACACAAAATTTATAGTGCTAGTTAGCTAAATTCCCATTTAACTGTTTTAAGAAATTGAATAAACTTAGTTGTAAGTTCTCCATAAGTGACAGGATTTCTGAGATGGAAAAAAAAAGCTGCTGTACGTAGAAAGTAAAAAGAAAAAAAAAAAAAAAAACAAAAAACCCACAAGTGACATATAATTTGTTTTCAGAGGAAGAGTTAAAAAGCATCTGAAGTGTTACCAAATTTTGGTTAAATGTGGAGTGTAAGTAATTACTTTAGTGTAAGCAGCTCCTTACTGTTGTTCTGGAGAAACTGAGGAGAAGGAAGTGTTTAATAAAACAAAGTGAGGTGCTAGAGAGGAGCAAGAATAGTGTATAGAAATAGCTTGTACTTTTCAGAGAGGTTTGGGGAGGTTTAGGGTTTTTTATTATAAAATTTCCCATGAAGGAGTGACTTGTTTACAGATTTTTTCCATTGTCCAAGACTGTAAAAACATTTTTTGAAAGAGAATGGAAAAGGTCTTCTTACTGTGACAATCTCGAGTGTGGATGTGGCTAAATGGCAAACTGGAGTAGTGCTGCTGACAGGGTAGTGTTTCAGGAGTTCAGATTTTGAAGCCTAGCATATTATTTCCCTTTGAAAAAGTCCTAGTCCTCTGTTAGACAGTGTTTTCATGCTGGACTCTCCATCCTCAGCAGAGCTTTCCTGAAGCCTTGCTTCCACTGCCTCTGCTTTTTCAGGTGAAGATCCTGACGCAGAACGAGAACAGCAAGCTGCAGGCTGCCCTGGTGAGCAACCTGAAGAGTGCTGTCACTGCTGCCTTCCTCATGCTGCCAGAGAGTTTCTCTGAAGAAGACCTCTACATGCAGATTGCTGGACTCTCCTACTCTGGTCAGTGTGTGGTGTCTACAGTTGCTGAGGAGAAAAGCCATAGCTGGTGCTGGCATGGCACAGGAGAAGTTGTTGCTCCTTTGCGTTGGACTGACAGTGCTCCAACAACTCTTTATTTTAATGTTGTGCTACATAACAGCTCGGAAAGACTAATTGCGTTTCTTTATAGAAAACAGGTGTGGGTGTGTAGCTGTAGGTCATGGGGTTCCCCAGGGGTCAGAACTGGGTCCAAGCTTGTTCAACATACTCATCAATGACCTGGAAGAGGGACAGAGTGGACCCTCAGCCAGGTTGCTGGTGATACAAAATGAGGAGGACAGGCTGACACACCAGAGCTGCTTTGTCATTCAGGAAGACCTGGGCAGGCTGGAGAGTTGGGCAGAGGGGAATCTCATGAAGTTCAACAAGGGCAAGTGTAGAGTCCTGCACCTGAGGAGGAATAGCCCCCTGCACCAGTGCAGGTGAGTGGCTCACCTGCTGGAAAGCAGCTCTGAGGAGAAGGACCTTGGAGTCCTCGTGGACAGCAAGTTCCCCATGAGCCAGCCATGGGCCCTCATGGCCAAGAAGGCCAATGGCCTCCTGGGGTGCATGGAGAAGAGTGTGGCCAACAGATCAAGGGAGGTTCTTCTGCCCCTCTACTCTACCCTGTTGAGGCCACATCTGGAGTGTTGTGTCCAGTTCTGGGCTTCCCAGTTCAGGAGAGACAAGGAACTAGAGAAAGTCCAGAGAAGGCTACCAAGATGCTGAGGGGCCTGGACAGGCTCCTCATCTCTGTGCCAGTACAGGCTGAGAGCCCTGTGGCTGTTCAGCCTGCAGAAAAGAAGCTTCAGAGGGGATCTGATCAATGCTGATCAAGAGCTAAAGGGTGGGTGTCAAGCAGATTGGGCCAGACTCTTGTCAGTGGTGCCCAGTGACAGGACAAGGGGCAAGGGGCACAAATCGGAACCCACAGGTTCCACCTGACCAGGAGGAGAACCAGCGTCTTTGGTGTGAGGGTGGCAGAGCCTGGAGCAGGCTGCCCAGAGAGGTTGTGGAGTCTCCTTCTCTGGACAGATTGCAAACCTGCCTCGTCGTGATCCTGGGCACCCTGCTGTGGGTGACCTGCTGGAGCAGGGGGGTTGGATGAGATGGTCTCCAGAGGTCCCTTCCAAACTCAAAATTTTGTGTTTCTGTACATAAGCAAAACTTCTTATACCTGTGGGATTTGTATTTTGGTTTTAATGGTTGAAAGCCTTCGAAAAACATTCATCTGATAGCCTGACCCATACTTTGTCATCTTTCAGTTTTTGAAAATGCTGTGTTTCAGGTTCTGATTTAGTGAACTTAAAGATCCAGATTATAATCCTTCAATGTATATTTAACACCTCCTGGTTGGTATTTGTTGATTTATTTATTTTTTTAAAGATAATTTCCTTCTTTCTTAAGTCACAAAATTGGTACAGAAAAAAATTTAAGAATTTATTCCAAGTGACTCTTCAGCCCAGGATTTAATTGTTACAATTTAATTCAGCATTACTCTTTATATGTTCTATCCTTAATGAAACCACCATGAACCATTGTGTTTGGAGTTATACTTTACACAACCCTTTCTTTGCTCATCTAGAAATGCACATTTGGCTTTTAAAAATAAGTCCAAGTAGTGAGGTGGGGTTGCTAAGCTGCAGGTTGGCTCTGCTGAGGAGCACTCCGATTGGTTTAGATCTCAGCTAGCTCAGCTTTTCCTTGGTGTTTGTTCTTATTTTGTTTCTTGAATCACTGTTTGACAGCATTAGTACAGAGGGCACTGACTGTGGGGTGGCTGAGGGCTCTTCACACGAGCATTTGCTGCCGGGCTGTGGACCTGCCCAGGGATGTCCCAAGATGAGCACTAGTGACCAAGATTCCTTTTTTATCTGTCCTTTGAAATGGTGCAATTAACCAAAAACCTGGGAGATCTGTTCCCATGCTGTAAGGTGTTGAAATGGGCTACGTTGTGTGAGCAGAGTCAAAGCCACAAGAGTCCCAGTTGGAAACATTCAGGCCAAAGGCTTCTCAGTTACGTGTTTATGGAGATTTTATTTTGTTGCCCTTTTGTGGCATCTTGACGTTTTCAGCAAGTGTACCGGCAGACAAAATTGGTTTTCTGTGTTACTCTAATCAGTCTCCTCGGAGACTGCTGAAAAGGGCCGTTCATGCTTTCGCGTGGAAAATGTTTATCCTGTAATTTTTTTTACTGCATTCTTGGAGAGACATGAGTCGGTAGTGTTTGTATGGGAAGTGCTTGTTTTGCAGCTTTGCATAAATTGAAACAAACCAGGTCACACAAGCAAGTTGCCACCTTGCAGCAGCGTTTCCCACTTCCCACCTTCAGGGGAGAAAATGGGTCCATTGAGGATGTTGTTTGTTCATATGGACTGAGCCTCCAGTTTCTGGCTGATCACCCTGGAAGCTCCCTGATGGAGGGTGCTGAACACTCTACTGCACACTCACCTTCTTTTCACTTGTTCTCTTTGGAACTTTTCAGTCTTGTGTCCCAGAAGCAAATGTAAAGGTCAGTAATAGAGCAGTGGTGTTAAAAGCAATTGCTTTGGGAATGTAAAACACGTGGCTAAGAGAAAAAGATCTACTATGATCATACCATGAGTGCCGTTAGCTGTACTTCAGGTACTGTCCTTGAAGTCTGAGCCAATGCCAAGTATTTTCATTCAATATTGGACCATTGAAGGTTATTTGTTTCTGGATACAAAATATTGGGGCTGGTTGGCTTGTGTAGGCATCTGTTGAAAGGGATGGGACTTATGGCTGCAAAGAGCAGAGCTGTGTTACTGCTGCTTTCGAGACTGAGCTTGACAGCTGGAATGTTCTTGTTGTCCAAGGGGAAATGTGGACACGTGGGTTGATGGCACCACAGCAGGTCAGAGGCCACGTGACAGTTCTGAATCTTATTTTTCTCTGCTTGAAGGTATTTGAATAGTATTTTTTGGCCATTGGAAGATGAACCTGATGGATTATATATGCGTTGGTGGAATTGGAGGATAAAGTTTTAGGTGACAGCTTTGTGCTATGTTGGTTTCTGTTACATTCCCCTTATTTGAGTTTTCATTTTTTTTCCTAATGAATTAACCATTTCTCTTTTCTTGTCTAGGTGATTTCAGAATGGTAATAGGAGAAGACAGATTGAAAGTGCAGAACATTGTGAAACCTAACGTTCCTCATTTCCAGAAGCTGTACAGTAACATATTGCAGGACTGCCCTCAAGTGGTCTACAAGCACCATCTGGGAAGGCTGGAGGTAAGTGCTCTTCTTCAAAACACTTTTAAAACAAGCCAGTGGAAGTGCTTTGTCACACTGACAGAAGGCAAGAACTGTGCTGTACACCAAGGAGAGCAGTTGTAGTTGCTGTGCTTGCTATTTGTTGTTTCTGTTTAGTTAATTCTGCAACCAGAAGACTTGCCTGAAATATCAGTCTCTGCATATGTGGTAACTATGGTTCATTTTTGTTGAATGAACAAGCAATAGAACACCAGTGAGGGAAGGAGAGATTTTTAAATGTCTGTTCTGGTGATTAGTGTGTGGAAACAGCAACCTAGGAAGTGATGAATAAAAAGTTTGTATTAGATTAGACTGTAACTTAGAGGTGCAACTTTCTGCAATCTAGAACTGCATCTCACAGAAAAAAAAACCTAGAGTGCATGTTATGAAGATCATTTGACTAAACCCAAACTGAATTCCTGCATTGTCTTTAAATACCCACTACTTAACCAATTTTTGCCCAGTGTTTGTGTAACAGGTATCCAAAAAGACCAGTATCTTGAATTCCATCTTTCTGGCATAAGGTGTAAATGTAACACAGCAGTTAGGGGAGAGTTGCCCCTCCAGGTCAGGAGTCCAACAGCAGTTTTTCGTCTTGCAGCATGTTGTCCGTGTGTGAATATTCAAATGTGACAGGCATTTCAACGTGAGGTTACAAATACCATGGGTTGTCTCAGGGACATGGGTGTCTCTTTACCCTCAAGTCACCACAGTAATTGTCACACAAACCCCTCCTTTAAGGACAGGTCTTTCTTAGAGACTGAAGCACAGACATAAGCAAGTTTGAGTACAGTAAGCAGTTGTACTGCAACCCTTCAGAGTACAGCACAGGCGAATCTCTACTCTGCTGCTGCTGTCTCTGTGTTTCTTTATCAATATGCTTTTCAACAGTTCAGAGGAAGTAGTTAAATGAATTTTTGGAGAGAATGACTAATGCTTTCTCCAAGAAAATGGCTAGTTAAGAATAATACTCCCTGTTGTGTTACTTTTAAAGCCATCCTGGTAGCTTACTATGAATATGTTGCTGGATAATAAATTTGTTCATAATTCCATAACGGTCATTGAAGCTGTTGATATTACTGTTGATATTACTGTTGATTTTGAGCTAAGTGCTTTAATATTCTGTTCCTCAGCCCTTGGTCTGATCATTGGCGGTTATTCCCCAGACCAAAGAGGGCAACTGCTCTCAGGAGTGCTGTTTAACACAGACCCCTTCTCCAAGGATGTGTCTTCAGAGTTACAGAGAAAACTCTTTCTTCAGAGATTCCTCAAAAGCAGCTGAAGGCAGACATGGGTTCTGACAGTTCTGGTTCAGGCGTGGATTCTTCCCACAGCGTGTGAAGAACCTGCTCCTTGGGGCTCCTTCTGCAGCCCGTGGGCGAGTCATCTGGATGTCATTTCTCCCCATTGACTAAAGGGAGTGTACAGGGGAACCAGGCTCCTGTCTTATGTCTCCCTGAACTGTGAAAAGTGTGGGAGGAATGGAGCTCTTCATGTTTTCCTCCAGGTTTGGAGGGATCTGCTCCGTTATGCATGTTTCGGTCTTTTTGCTTACATTTTGTATAAATGTGCACAGGACTATGTGTTGATATCATTGTGTTCAAAAAAGGGTCGTTGAATTTCTGATTTAGATTGGAAAATAGGCAATGAATGTTTCCTTCAGGCTGTACAAACCAGATGTGTCTTCAGTTGAAAGCAGAGAAAATGTTTTTTAAACTAAACTTGAAATGTGTGTATGTAGTTTGATTCTATTCAGGCAGAAGAAACTGAGTTAATTGGTCTTTTGGGAACTCTTTTTTTTCATTGTAGCATCCTTGTGTTTCTAAAGGAAGATGGATAGAGCAAAAATGGTACAGGTCGAGTGAAAAGTTGTCTGTGGAGGCAGGAATTCATGTATGTATGTTGGTCTTCCCTTGGATAAAAATTAACATCTTTTTGTTGAGTTATTCTCCATGTTCAGAAGTGAGATTGTGTTTCTCAGCTCTTGGGAAGTTTTCATGAATGTTGTCAATGACTCACAAGTGAACTGGATCGTGTTCTTTGGGATAGCTATCAGGAATCAAAGATAGCCAAAAGACTTTTTGGACTTCTTTGGCAAAGAGAACCTACTTTATTAACACTGAATACTTTTACTGTCTTGTTTTTTATAACATTCAGATTGATAAAAGTCCAGAAGGTCAATTTGCACAACTAATGGCTTTGCCAAGGACTCTGCAACAGAAGATAACTTCTCTCGTAGACCCTCCTGGGAAAAACAGAGATGTGGAAGAAATTTTACTGCAAGTTGCCCATGACCCTGACTGTGGATTTGTGGTGAATCAAGGTAGGCCTAGATCAGTGTCTGTAGGTTGTGTTAAGATGTGATAGAGATTTATGATATATGTTATCCTAATCCAGAAGAATGGTTGGAGAGAAGGATAAAGAAAACAGATTAATCATAAGATACCTTCCTCAAATGCACGTATTTGGGTTGGTTTGATTGCAAACAGGTTATCTGAGATCCTACCCAATATCATTCCTACTGATGTAGAAAGACACATTTTGGTTTGGATCCTGAAAGAAATAGTCTTTAGGAACTAGTGTGGCCTGCTTAGACCACCTAACTCTGTTTGGGATGCTTACATCTTCAGGATTTCATTGGCTGACATCACTTCATCCAAATGCTGAAGTGTATACCCCACAAGTCAGACATGGCAACACTCAGTTATCTTCTGGCTTGCTGATGTTACCCTTCCCAGTCCTCATAGCTAGTCCAGATGGGGGAGCTCTGGCAGAGAACTTGGGCTGTCAGGGAAAAGGCTGAAGCACTTCTTGTCATCACACCTTCTCTGAGGCAAGATTGTTGGATGAGCAAGGTAAAGCAAATGCTGCAGACATCAGTGTTTTGTTGTCCTTACGTGTTTTTGTTTATGGTGCAGACAAATGAAAACCTTTAGTTCCTAAAAGTCCTTTACGTCTTTTAAGAGCTTGACAGATCTTAGTTCTGGATGGAAAATTTTGCAAGCTCCTCGAGCATGGCAAACACCACTCCCTAAATGCCTGAGAGCTCCTGGAGACTAACCATCTGTGGAAGGAGCTCTTACTCTGGTTCCTGTTCAGAGAAAGAGCTTCTGAGAGTGGCAGATCTCCACTGCCAGCGTGGGAAGAACTGCACCCGGACATCCTGGTGTCCAGCATCTCTCCTGGCAGTCTGGGGCAGCTTCTGTGCTACTGTGGTTGCAGCAATGTGGTGACAATTTTTGAATTTTGTGGGGTGTTGCAGGCACGGCTGTGTGCAGCAGCTCAGCATCAAAGCACTGGACACATCCAGGCTTCCCAAGCCAAGCAGTTTATATGCTTTGGAGAACAAATCAAAACTCTTCTTTTGCTTTTGAAGCCAAAATATTTTCCTAATCCAATAATTGAGGTATAGATCAGGACAAGTCATTTGGTAGCCCTACAGGAGCAAGCTGACTACTTGATTTGAGTTGCATTGTCCCCTGGTATTTTACTAGCTCCACACAATTTGTTCCCTTCCCTACCCCCTCAAATTATTTTCTGGTGGAACATTGTATCCCTCTTACTTACTGATGCATTTGCCTAAGCTTTGTCCTTCGTTATAGAACTAGCTTTGAAAGAAGGATTTGAAAATAATATTTGAAGTTACATGCTATGTTTGTTCTGGTTAATGCAGAAGAATAACTTTCAGTTTGGAGATCAACTCTAGGACTGCTGCATTTCTACATTTTTAAGGGTTAAGTATTGTACAGTAGCCTTGTTCTGCACCTATCAGTATACTTTTATATATATATATGTGTTAGAATGGGTAAAAGTTGGTGCTGTTCAAGGAAAGTTTTAATGTTTTGTATGCCATTAATACCCAAGAGCCACTGGACAGTGAGAACTGAATGCATCACAGCACAAAGTGGAAAATGAGCCTTATCTCTCATAAGCCAGACAAACAGTGCCCAATATGGACGTCTCCACTGGGTCAGAGATGTGCAAAATTCCAATTTCATACTGAAATCAACAAGGAGTGTAATTTGTTTTGCTCTAGAAAGTTAATATACCAGCACTTAGATGAAACAACTCTGAATCCTTTGTGACTAATCATCTTAGTAGAGAAATAATAGGAGTACAAGATAATTTCATTTGATCAATTCCTACTGGCTGTTATGTGGTTTAATATTGATTTTTTTTTTTTTTCCTGTATGTTATACATAAAATTAAAATAGCTTACAGAATACATTCAATTAGTATGTCAAAGCAGAACAGAAACAAACCTTTTCAGTTTAAGTGTATGTTTTACTTTCAGGCTATAACTGGAAAAATACTTAACCTTTTTGAGTACGTTGGAGGATAAAACAATCTCCACAGAACTGCTAAGATGGGTAACATCTGTGTGCTTTTCTATCTGCAGGCATTTCGGGAATTGTAAGATCTTCCAGTATAGTGCAGAGTGCTAAAACCATCCTCACAGCTGGTAAGAACATGTGTGATTTCTGTCAATGTCAGCCTTCTGCTTTCAGAGTGAAAATTATAGGACCCCAAGACTGTCTTCTGACAAGAGTTTAAACTTTTGGGTGTCTAATTGAAAGCCCCTGCAAAAAGTGAACAATATTTAAAGCAGAAGCTTTGTAGGAGTATTGAAAACTTACATGATGTCAAAAGGAACTGGAGTCTCTGTGATTCTTAACAAAGAAACCCCACCAACAACCCAAAAGTAGCAAAAAAACCCCCAATTTCTGACTTCGGTTTCATGTTATCTATGGGCCAGATTTGGCAGATGTGAACTAGTTCTGCTCTGTCTGTATTAAAACGGTAAAAATTACTTGATAATTCACTCTGGCTTCTACAGGTGAGTGGGTCCCTAAACGATCAGTACCAGGTATTGGTGTGTTGTGTCGACTGTAAGGTTAGTTCCTCATACAGTAAAGGAGGGGATGAGTTTTGAGAGAGAGAACTTGGACAGGATCTCATATTTTTGTGAGGCTCAGAAGGCAGGTGTGTGTTTGAAGTCACCCTGTATTCCAAACTGAGCCTGTACTCGGTGAGCACTGGATATTCCTGTAACTCTCATTCCTCAAAATTAATTTAGAAGAAGAGTTGAGCATTACAGAGGCAGTGTCAGAGAAGGGGAGTGGGGGGAGAAGGACTTACTTTTGTGGAAACATGGGAAAACTGGGGATGCTTTTCAGCTGTCTGCTCTTCCTGATGGAATGGAAGTTACTGCCAGTTACATAGCTGGAGCTTCAGCCTGTTTTCTAAGTTCTGGAATAAAGCTAATTTTAAGGTGACCTGAATTTTACTTTTTACAAAGCTGAAAGCACTGCAGCTCAATTGTAAAGGAAAGGCTTAAGACCTGAGCCTTCATTCACTTAAAACTCTTATCAGGAGACAGACTTAATTCCTGCACAGTGAAAAATCCTTGCTGCTTGCATGAAGTTGGTAAAATAATTTTCTGAACTTGTTCATACCTATTCCTAGTTCTTCCACAAAAGCAATTAGACACAAATGATGCCATTACTGGCTTTAAAAGCAGACTTATAGTTTCCTACTGAGCAATCCTCATCCAGACTTCTACAGCTCCTCTTCCCTTCCCCTTTAACAGCAAAGTTGGAGGCTCTGTGTTATATTTCCTACCTCCTTGTAAAGAAACACAAGTTGCAGAGTTCAAGACTGTTAATGGTCTGCTGAGTGAAATAAATGGGAATAGTTGTACTTTTTATATGCTTCTGTTAATAGTCTTCCAGTTAATAGAAGTCTGACAAAAGTGTTGCCTAACTTTGTTTAGTAGCCGGAGGAGACAAAGGATATAACTCCATCTCAGAAAAGCACATTTGTTATTTCCTATGTGTCTAAAGTTGAGCAGTGAAGCTGGGGAAGGGTCTAAAGACCAAGTGTGGTGAGGAGCAGCTGAGGGACCTGGGGGTGCTGAGCCTGGAGCAGAGGAGGCTCAGGGGAAACCTTCTGGCTCTCCACAGCTCCGTGACAGGAGGCTGGAGCCAGGTGGGGTCACGCTTTTCTCCCAAGAAAGAAGTGACAGGACAAGAGGAAACAGCCTCAAGTTGCACTAGGGGAGGTTTAGGCTAGACCTGAGGAACAATTTGTTCCGCTTGAGGGTTGTCCAGGGCTGTGCCAGGCTGCCCAGGGCAGTGGTGGAGTCCCCATCCCTGGAGGGGTTTCCAAGCTGTGGAGATGTGGTGTGAGGGACATGGGTCAGGGGACCGGGCAGTGCTGGGGGAACGGTTGGACTTGACTTGAAGGTCTCTTCCAACCAGAATGATTCCATGATTCTATAAGGTTTAGTCTTATTGCAGGTATTTGTTTCTAATGTAAGGTTTCCAACCAAGCAGGTGACTTTCTTTGTGGGTTTGTTGTCAAAATTACCTGCTGGTGGTCACGACTTCTTGTATTGTAATGTGCTTCTTTTGGAAATAACAGCTTGTAACTTCTCTGTTTTTAAATCTATTAGGACTTGCATCTTTTAGTAGGACTTGTAATTTTTACTGTGTTTTCTGTTTGGTGCACCTGAAACTAGGTATTTGTGAAATGACTTCTCTTTCCTTAACTGCTTCTTGGTTTATATATAGTGGCTTTCTTTTTCCTCTTCACTAGTTACAGCCAGTTACATGGAGTAACACTTGTATCTAAAAACATGTCTTTTCTGTTACTGCTTTTTGTGTTGAAAATGCTTTTTTTTGTGGTCTGATTCAGGCAGAGCAAAGCAGTTGTGATCCTTTGCCTCAAACACAAGCCAAATTTGAGCCAAGGAGACTTGGGAGAGCTTGTTTGCTTACTTCTAGCATAATTTAGTTTTAGTTTAACCATATTTATGCACTTTTGCCAGAATCTGGCCAGAATCACTAGCAACAGAATTCAGGATTGAGCTTTTGGGGTTGCTCACAGATTCTGTGCTGAGGGAGATGGGGTAGGACCATCTTTGGAAAAGGACCTTTTCTGGCATTTCCTAACCTCTGAGTGTTGTTTAATGAAGTAGAAAGCTTGCCTGCAGAGCTCACCTCACTGAGCATCACTGTGCAGCCACCCTGTCTGGAGACAGGGAGCCTCCTGCTTCCTTTGGGACCAGGAGCGTGTCCGTAACATGCTGCTGCACAGGAGATGAGTAGTGCCTCCTTGCTCGTGTGGGCTTGAGGAGCTAATCCGTAGTGTCCTGGCATGGTGGGCTTGGAAGGGACCTCTGGAGATCATCTCGTCCATCCCCCTGCTCCAGCAGGCCACCCACAGCAGGGTGCCCAGGATCACATCCAGGTGGGTTTGGGATCTCTCCAGGGAAGGAGACTCCACAGCCTCCCTGGGCAGCCTGCTCCAGGCTCTGCCGCCCTCACAGCAAAGAAGCCTGTCCTCATAGAAGCTATTTGCCTTTTTTTTTTTCTATTAAATACTTCTCTTCAAACCTGATGTTGATGTTAAATGATGCTGTGTCCTCTAATGAAGACTTTCTCCCTATCACAGCTTCTTCATTTTAAAAATCGGTCAGTAGAGGGGGCAAGCATTAATGCTGTTGTCCGTGCTTGGCCATTTTGGGGGGCTCTTACCAGCTCCTCTCCCCACAGACACGCACTGTACACACACAAGCCTCCGAGGTTGAAAGTATTTGCTCAACTCATGGAAGGAATGTGTATAACAGAGAACTGTTGAGCTTTTAAATTTCATCCCTAAGGATGCTGTATTTCTTTCTTCATTCTTTAAATCTTGTCTAATGTTCCCCTAAGACCTCTTTTCACACTTTCTAGTAGAATCTAGAAGTATTATGGCTCTGTGCTTCTGAAGTGCTTACCTTAAGAACCGGAGCTACGAGAAGAGAGTTATGAAAGTGATTCATGAAATCCGTGGCTCCATTACCATTAAATAAGCCCTGACTATTTTTCCTAATAACTATACAAGTGCTTTTGTCTTCTGTCTGGTTGCAGAAGAATTAGTTCTCATTCCATGACCATCATTCTTGAAATATAGCAGGGGATGCAAAATTATTTCCTTAGCTGCTTGTTTTATCCTAACAACAAGAAGTGCAACGCCTTCTCTCTGCTCTGTGGCATGGTAGTCCCTTGTTCAGCTTGTTTCTAAATTAAATGTTAAATCAGGAATAGTTGTTGCTGAGATGGTGTGCTGGGTATTAACACTGTTGGCTAGGAGCACAGGCAACATGAAAAAACTGCAAGCCATTTAAGAGAACTTTTTTTCATCTTTCTGTGCCAATGTGGTTTTAGAGTTGAGCTCCAGCTCTGGGTTTTTGTTTGTTGTTAAATGCCCTATTTAGTTTTTGAAAATGTGCCTGTGTATTTTTTTGAGTTTGTGGTGAGATCGCCTCTCTGGTTCCCATTATAGATGGCACCATCCTTTGATTTATTTTCCCACATAGCCAGAGTATGCGTGGTCTTCATGAGCTAACTCTGAAGTTCTTGTATTGAGCTCCTCTGAAGGAGATGTTGATATTTCTTTAGCTTAATTTTCTTCTTTATATCTTACTAGAGGAACGCTGTAAGCCTTGAAATTTCTTATAAATTACTTTGACTTAAATCATCAGCTAAAGCAGTTGTTGAAGGTACTTTTAAGTTAGCACAAATGCTTGTAGCTACTCTGAATAACCTTGTTTTCTTAGAATTGGGATATTACTATGTCTTCAAAGAATTGAGTTTTTTTAACTCTAAGGAACAACTTTACATATGAATCATTCTGTATATTCGTGGTAACTGCTGTCTCCATCAGCTGCCCGAGCAGATACCATGTAATGCTGCACTTCACTGTAAATAGGTGTAGGAAGTTGGTATGTGTCTGTGCAGGAGACACTACCGGTATGGAGCTGCTTGCCTCCACCTGACAGCTCTCCAGCAGCACGTCTTCCTTTTCCAGAGGAGATGAAGAATACTGCAGCCAAGTGTGTCTACTGGGAAACTTTGGGGGACTTGTAAGATAGCGATTTGGCTAGACTAGAACACTGACACTTCCAAAAAACTGAACATGAATCCTTAAGTAAAACCAGATACAACTTATGTTTATGGTGAAATTTTGTGGTCTCGATTCCATGTGCATTAGCTCTTTGTTCTGTCTCATGGAGTGGAAAAATCTGAAGGGGAGGTGGAACCACCAAGTCATAGATTCATAGCTAAAGCAGAAAGACATTTTCATGTGGTTCAGCTGCTTCAGATTCTGAGGCTGAGCCATAATTACAGCCATTAACTTTTACTACAGATGTGACTCATCGCCCCGAGGGCTGCTTTCAGAAACCAGCTGTATGTATAAACCTGTATTTTGCTTTGCAGCGTGGTGTGCTGGGGCAGAAATGTCAGCATCTTATTGCATAAGGCTCTGGCGGGTGGAGTTCCAGAGTGCTCCTTGCAGAGGGAAAAGAAAAACCCCTGCCTGTGTGTGTGCCATTTGAATGCAGATATGTGCATTAAATTTACAGGAATTCCAGCATTTACAGGATTATTTATATTCCTTTGCAGCATCTCAAATAACAAGCCCGTTGTGACTTTGTTAGTGTGCTTGCTTTTAGCAAAGAATTATTTAGAAAAGTTTGAGCTTACATATGGGATACACATGGGTTTGCAAGTTGGAAATGTATGTATGGAGGTTTCCTTACAGAAGATAAAGTTGAGTTTACTTAACTTGCAATTAGAGATGCAAGAAGTGCAGAACTGATTATATGCAGCCTATTTGTCATGGCTGGGTTTTTACTCTGTCACATTCCTTCAGAAACAGAGCATGCACTTTTCCTTGTTTCTGCTTACTCACTCAACTTCTTGTGACTCCACACTGCTAACACTGAATGCATCTTTCACTGAAGTATTTTATCTTTGATTACTTTCTCAGGTCTTTTCAAAATCAAATATTACCATACCCATTTTTTCTCCCACCCGAAAATAAGTCCCATGCAGTAGATGGCTAAACCTGGGACTGAGTTGCATGTTGGTTCCAGAAGAACTTTCCTTGTGCTCCGTGTGACTTTTGGTTAAACTGCTTCAGTGTACTTATAGCCAGCCTTGTCAGGTCAACAGTATTCTATTAAATAAACACAACAAAGATTGTAGTAAGTACAAGGTATTGTGCTTTTAAACCTGTGCATCTAAGTAAGTGCCAAAGCTTTTTGTGCAGCATTAAAAACTTCAGCTGTGATTTTGTAAGGGCATGATTAGACTGCGTTATAATCTGAAAAGTCACTCTGTTTGATGTTGGATTTTGTTGTTGTTGTTGTTGTTTTGGGGTGTTTTTTTGATGAAAAAGAAAAAGCTGCAAGGAGAAAAATTAAGTAGCTCACCTGGCTGGGATCTGAGAGCCCCGCTGAAATGCCAAAACTAACAGTATTTGAAGTTTCCAAATGCTAGATGAGTAAATATAGCAAAAAAGTTGCATCTTTTTTTACTCTAGGTCTATAAGAGAAGGTTCATCTCTTCCTAGAACATCAGAAAGTGTTTTATTGTAAGGGTTCACTTTACAAATTGTGTGGGAGTCCCCCTCCACCTCTTTGTCTCTACAACTTGTAAAAGCTTGGAGGCAATGACTGCCACAAGAGCCTTCTGTGCCTCTGGAAATTGGGAAATGCCTTCCTTTGTTGTAGGCCTAGCACAATGGGATGGTCTTCACCAAAGGCCACTACTTGTGGGCTGCTGCAGGTTGGTCTCATAGCTAGAAAGGGACAGCTGTTCTGGCTGCAGATGAGGTTTATTATAAAGATGGGCAGGCTATGCTGAAGCAAAATCGATCCAGACAACATCCCTGTGGCAGGGTATTCACATTGGTGTCCGTGGCACACTTTTGATGTTGGCAGTGTTGCCAAATCTTAGCTGTCATCTGGTCATTTTTGCTGCTTTCAGGTCACCTGGGTATGTGGTGAGTTAATCTGGTTTTCCTTACCCAGCATCATTTTGGTATTATCTTTATCTTTTTTTTTCCCTAGGGACAGAGGTGTCACCTCTGTGTGCAAGTGGAGCAGTTTGAGTCTCTTGCAGATGTTCTGTTCTCCCAGCTGTGAAATGGCAGCTGCTGTGAGTTAGGGCAAGGCAATAACAAAATACTCAGGGAGGTTACGATGTACTTTACAGCTTGTAGAGGCCAGACCAGATTTCCACCTCAACAGTCAGCAGCACATTTCTTCTGAAAAAAAAAAAAAAAACAAAACCCAACAATTCTCTGTTTTCATTTTTAATTCACAAGCCTTTGCATAGCAGTGTTCTGGGTTGGTTTCTCCTAGAAAGCTGCTGGTGATGTGCAGTGTTTGAGTATGTTTAATCAAGAAGGGCATCAGCATGATGCTTCTAAGTTCTGTACATCTAGAGTCAATTGAGTACATCTGTACATGAACCCAGTACATCTAGAGCACTGTGTCCAGTGCTGGGCTCCCCAGGTCAAGAGAGACAGGGAACTCCTGGAGAGAGTCCAGTGGAGGTTACAAAGCTGCTGAGGGGCCTGGAGCATCCCTGGGCCTAGGAAAGGCTGAGAGCCCTGGGGCTGCTGAGCCTGGAGAAGACTCAGAGGGGATCTGATCAAGAGGTAAAGGGTGGGGAGCAAGAGAATAGGGCTGGTCTCTTTTCAGTGGTGCCCAGTGACAGGACAAGGGGCAATGGGCACAGACGAACCCAGGAGGTTCCATTGGAACATGGGGAAAAACTTCTGTGGTGTGAGGGTGGCAGAGCCTGGAACAGGCTGCCCAGAGAGGTTGTGGAGTCTCCTCTGGAGAGATCCCAAACCCACCTGGATGTGATCCTGGGCACTCTGCTGTGGGTGACCTACTGGAGCAGGGGGTTGGATGAGATGATCTCCAGAGGTCCCTTCCAAGCCCACCATGCTGGGATTCTGTGATATTAGCAGTGTAGAACTGGTCTACAAGAAGGCAACCCAGGGCCTGATGCAGAGCATTGAGCATTGCTAATTAAAACCTGACGAGCAGAAGAAATTGGTAAAGTAGCATTCGGAAGTATGAAGCTTGTTGTCCAACTGTCATGCAGAGCCTGCTTGAGCAGACTGTCCTTTTGTCCTGGGTCACTCCACTCTCTCTCCTTGCCCTTCATCCTTTCAGTAAAGTTTTATCTGTGTAGTTTTGGGCATAGCTGTCGTTCCTGGTGGTGAGGCCCCATTTAGTCTACAGGACCTGGTGGTGGACTCCGCTCTCAAGAGCTGAAGTGCTTCAAGAACTAGATTATTCTCACAGACATGACCAGCTAATTAATTTGCATGCCCAACAGCCTGGGTTTCTCTAAACAGTCCTGCTGGCATGTCCTGCTACAGAACATAGTCTGTCAGGTTGCTGGTGGTGTCCATGGCCAGGCCAGAGTAGGGTCCTGCTCGGCTGGGCACACTACCCAGTAGTAGATCAGAAAGGGCCTGGCCTGAGAAGCAAACCCTATGAGTATGAGGGACCTCTGAACTGCCTTCCAATACCTGAAGGGAACCTCCAGGAAGGTTGGAGAGGGACTTGGCACAAGTGTCCAGAGACAGGACAAGGGGAAATGATTTTAAACTGGAGGAGAGGAAGTTTAAACTGGGGCTTAGGAAGAAGTTCTTCAGCAAGAGGGTGGTGAGACTCTGGACTAGATTGCCCAGAGAGTTTGTAGATGCCCCTCCCTGGAGGTGTTCAAGGGCAGGCTGGATGGGGCCTTGAGCGACCTGGTTTAGCTGAGAGGTGTCCTTGCCCATGGCAGGGAGGTTGGATGAGATAATCTCTGCGGTCCCTTCCAACCTCAGCCATTCCATGATTCTGCCATTCTCTATTTAGTTTTAAGGAACAAAGATGTAAATGAGAAGTTTCTCTCTGTATTAGTTGAGAGTTTTATCATGAATCTCTGTCTCTGCTGTACGTTGGTTGCTGTCCATACAATGTGCTTGTGTGCTACATCATCAGGGTGTCCAAATGAACCTGTTCTATTTTGCATGCTTTGATACTGTTAAAAATAGGGCGGTTTGTGTCATTATGTCCTGTGTTATGAACATGACTAGAAGGTTATTTGCACGTCTGCCTGGTAGATTAGGATTAGTCCTTCTAGGGAAGTCCTCTACTTCATGGAGTAAGGACCAGGGATTTGAGTTAGACTTCCTCAGTGTTGATATTTTCTGGGTTTTGTGTCTTTTTCTTTTTTTTAGGGGCAAAGAAATCTATAACGTACAGTATGAAGAAATTATATAAAATGACAAGGGGATGGTTAAGGAAGACATCCTGAGTCTTGACATACTGTGTATGGGTAAATAAATGGTACTTTTTCTCCAAATATTTTGCAGATGTTGCTTTGCCTGCTTGGGGAGATTAAAGTGCATTTAAGAAGTCTGTTCTAATAATTCACATGCCAAATTTTACTACTAAAACAGGAACTCTGGTTAGTGAGGGAAAGTTTGGTGGTAATAGGGCGAAGGAATTATACTCTGTGAACACTGAAATGAATTTTCCTGTATAGTATACCTTGGATTTTTAGAAACCCTGAGTAGAATGGATGGATTGTACGTATGAATGAAGAACCAAAGCCACTCATTTTCCATGTATTGCTAGATTTATTTTCCAAAATGCATTTGGGCTCTTTCAAAATATTTACTGCCCCAACTTTAGCTCTGTCAGGGACTTATGGAACTGGAGAGTCTGTGGAGTTTTAAGTAGATATGTAACTGTCCTCTCAAAATAATTTATTTCTACACTTACAAATTCATTCCAAAAATTCCTCTGAGGGTCCTTCCTGGGTGCCTCTGCAGGGCAGACTTCATGAAAAGCAAATGCTTTTTTCTCTCAGATGCGTGGCATTCTGAATCCAAAACCTTCAACAACAACTTTCACTCTGGTAAAGAGTCTTTGAAAGGAGAAGCTTGTCAGGTATAGGATCCTTTCATAAAAATTGTGTATTCCTTTCATGAGACAGAGATGATGACTGCCCAGCTCGTGGCTGAGTGTTGTCAGAAGTGCTGTGGTTGGAAGGAAGGTCCTGACCCTCAGAACGTACTTGTGCAGATTTATGAAACGTGTGGTGTTTGGATGAAGGTTCTACCCAAGTGCTTTAAAGTTGGGAATTTTATGAACAAAAGTACCTACTGTTTGGGTTTGGGATTATTATTATTTTCCTGAAAGTACTCTCCACAAAGAAAAAACTTATTCTTCCTTAATTCAATTAGCTAAACTAAAGAAAATTAGATTTTTACATAACATGTTAAAGAATGGACATTTCTGGCACTGTTCATGTGTGACACAAATTTGGAGCATCTGTTGTAAATAGTATATTTTTTTCCACTGAATCAGGTGGATTTGCTAATTTTGGATTTTTTTTTTAAATAGAAACAAATAGAGAGAACGCTTCATTTTACTTGTGAGAATGTCAATGCGAAAAATAATTTCAAGGTAAACAATTGAAATAAAATGAGTCTTGTCGGTATTTTAAATTAGCATGTATTTTTTTCTTGTGTTTTATGTGATCAATGGTGCCATCTCTCAAGCTACATTTGATTTAGTGATCTCACTTTTTAAAAAAAATAAATAATTGGATTGAAATTGGCTGCTAATTGTTTCCAGGGAGCAGTCCAAAACCTAAATTTAAGACAGAAAGCAGAAAATGTATTATTGTATATAATATGACTCAGAAAATATATTATTGCATATAATATGACTCATCCAAGCTTACTTTAATCACAGGGGGCCTTTTAAATATTGATCATTTTAAAATATTTGAGTTTAAAGTGGCAAAATTTAAAAGCAGTCAGGAAGTAAGTGTGTCCCTTTTTTATTATTTCTTTGGGAAATCTGACTGCTGAGAAATAGCAACTCGCTAAGGTCAGATTCCTAACACTTTGCATTGTCAGTTGATGATAGATCTGGAAATTGTAAGACAAATCCCTTCAGATATCCTTTTTCTGACATCAGGAGGCTGGCTGTCCCTTTTAGGGTGGGATATTGTGCAGAAGTGACTTTGGCCAGAGAACGTTGGTGTGTGTGTGGCACTGGCATTCTCTGTTCCTGCTACTGAGAGCCCAAAGTCCCCGCTTTGAAAAGTTTACTGTATAAGATCTGGAGCTGAGGGAATTTAAGCCACTGCTTAAATTAAATCAACCTTGGTTTTTGGCTGGATGTTTTTGTTTGCATGAAGAGGTTCCTTTCTGGATAATCCAGAGGTCTTTTATACAAAGTATACCCTAAAATTAATGTCACATGTAGTGAGGATGTGGAATAGCTGTATGGTCTGCTACATCTCAGCATGAGCTCTCCTGGAGAGAAATCTGAACTCAGATGTTGACTGGCTTAGGTGTGCTCAGTGGAAAATTCTTAAGAACAGAGAATACTGATCCCAGTAGTAGAAACAGACCTTGACAGACACAAAGCTTTTGGACAAGGATTTGGGATGGAGCCCTGACCTGAATGTGACATAGTTACCAGGTAAGAGGTGCAGAGCTGCGTGGTTGGGTCATCTAACGAGGTAATGGCTTTGATGTTTTTGTCCCAAACGAAGTATGCTGTAGGGGAAGCTGTGGATGGGCAGGACACGGACGAAAGACTGATTTTTACATGGCTAATGTGCTGTTAGTAAATTTGTAGTAGGGTCCACTGTATTATTTTGGGAGGGGAAACCCAAACAAAACAGTCCTCATCTGTGAAAGTCTTATGATACCAAAACCATTTGGAAGCTGAAATGACAGAACATAATGGGTCAACTCCTTGTAGGAAACGGGATGGCTTCAAAAATAACCCTCTGCATGAACAGTTAGCAGAACGATTTATTTATTTTTAATATAACTGAACTCTATATATTCTGGCCTTCTTTTGTAGTTGTGTTTATTTTCTTTTAAGGCTGTGTGGGAAAGGGTCTAAGTGAGCCTTGACTCCTTCTCAAGGAGAGGATGCTCACTGCTGGTGAGGATTTCTCCTCAACAGACTCAGCAAGATCACTCACAGTGGAACTGTATTTATCTCTAAGTGTGTCTGTGAGAATTCTGTTTCTGTGGTCAAGTTTTGGAGAATGAATTCTGTAAGCAGAAAAATACAGTTATTTTCTGCTTTTAAAAAATGCCAGTTGCTGCACGCTTTACTGTTAGAAATGTTTTCCATGGACTTGCATACATTACCAGGTAATTAAGCCTAACAACTAAAATGTGATTCCAAATTTTGCCTCACTTTTTATGTCTGTAAATGAAAATCATAAAATCACTCTGGCTGGAAGAGACCTTTAAGATCATCAAGTCCAACTGTTACCCCAGCACTGCCAGGTCCCCACTGACCCATGTCCCTCAGCACCACATCTCCATGGCTTGGAAACCCCTCCAGGGATGGGGACTCCACCACTGCCCTGGGCAGCCTGGGACAGCCCTGGACAACCCTCAAAGGGTTCTCAGGTCTAGCCTAAACCTCCCCTGGTGCAACCTGAGGCTGTCTCCTCTTGTCCTGTCGCTTGTTCCTTGGGAGAAGAGCCCGACCCCCACCTGGCTCCAGCCTCCTGTCAGGGAGCTGTGGAGAGCCAGAAGGCCTCCCCTGAGCCTCCTTTGCTCCAGGCTCAGCACCCCCAGGTCCCTCAGCTGCTCCTCACTAGACCTGTGCTCTAGACCCTTCCCCAGCTTCATTGCCCTTCTCTGGCCATGGTCCAGCCCCTCAGTGTCTTTCTTGGAGTGAGGGGCCCAAAACTGCACCCAGGATTCAAGATGCAGCCTCCCCAGTGCCAAGTATGGAGGGACAATCCCTGCCTCAGTCCTGCTGGCCACACCTTTGCTGATGTAAGTAATTTCTGTAAGCCCTGTGATTCCCTCAAGGACGCAGACCTTCCCTGGTGCTGTGTAGAAACCTATAGACTGAAAGGAAAAGAAAAAAGGGATGTCTGTGGTGCACAGATGGAGCAAACACTTATCCAAAGAACAGTCAATATGACCAAGTTAAAGAGGAAAAAAGTATGCAGTGGCAAAATTAGACCCTCTGACCTGTTAAGGACCTAGTTCCTTCCTCCTGTGATAGTGAGTTAAGTGAAGCTTTACATCATGAGCCACACTGGGCATCCTTGAACACCACCATCCTGACCAACTTGTACCTTCTTTTTTTTTTTCCCCCTTTTTTTAACAAAAAGGTGAGGATGGGCTTTTTAAACCTGGTTCAACAACAGCACCACTGGCTGTGAAACCACTGGCTCATAAGTAACTGCTTCAGGCACTGTTTGAGAGAGACCATGTGTCATAGATTGCCCAGCATCTATTTGAGAATCCTCACCAGCAGATTAAATCACACGCTCGAATTCAAACGCAGATGTTACGACTGTTGTTGGGTAGGTATGGAATTCCTGTTTGAGACTCAAGGCAATGTGCAGCTTGGGCTTGAATCTACGGAAATAAAAATATGTTAAAAATCAACATACTGTCTCAGCTGGATGCTGGTGAAACCTCCTTGGGTCTGGCTGCACCTTCTGTGGGTTTTGTCTGCTGCCTTGAAGGTGTGGCTCTTTTCCCTGTTGTTGAGTGAGGGTACCTTGGAGATGGGTGTATGGCCTATGAGGATATCCTACATCCTAAAAGGCTCTGTTTCCTCTCCTCTGCGGTTCCTCACCCCTGCTAAGTTTGGGGGTGAGCAGCTGTTAGATCTGGAGTTGTTTTCATGATGAAATGCAGTTGTAATGCTATGGAAGCATTGAAAAGAAGAGCTTTCTTTTTAAAGCCATTAGGGATACAGTTGATGTTCTGAAAATTAAAGGAAGACACATTTTACAGTGGCTTTGGTGTTTCAGAAGGTGCTTGCTACTGGAAGGGTGGTTCAGAACACTCAAAGTCAATCCCAGGTCAGCCTGGGGTGTGAAAATGAGTTTGCCTCAGCTCCTGTAGTGGAACAGTGATCTCCGCGCTGAACCTTGCTCGCTGAGCAAGGGCATTTGTTCAAGAAATCATGTTCTGGTAGAAAAAATAGGAATGTCTTGCTTTGCTGCTTAGCAGCTAATGAAGCATTTTTCTGTGCAGGAGATGCTGTATGGTGTCAGCCCCTCCCACGCTCCGTGCTCCTTGTCCCCGGGCCAGTGGGCTGGTCTCTCCCTCCACAGGTGTTGCTGTCCTGCAGGATCTGCCCACGATCCCATCTTGCTGTGCTCACCCTGCATGGCTGGAACCACCTCTACGAACTCTGTGTGTAGAGACATAATGGGTCACTTCTAGCTCTTCAGAGAGAGTTTTGCAAATCCCACTTTAATCGCTCCTACTTCACTCCATCTGTTGATACGTTGCCAGCATTGAAGTCTGTGCAGTAAATCTTCGTGAGACATAAAGTCCTTCCTCCTCACCCGTACAGGCTGAAATCTTCAGCTATAGTCTGTTCTGTAAATCATTTATCTGCGTGCTTTTTAAAAAGCAGTCTACCTTTCCCCTT